ATTCGTCACTGAGCTTATACTCGTCTTTCTACGAAAACAGGATTATCCCCGGCTATCACCTCAGTGAAGATCTATTAAGAGCGGTCGACTGATCAACACACATACAAAATCATATATGCGAGCTTCGAGAGCGCAGCCAACATTGCTAAATATCAAAACCTTTGAAATCTCTTATTCTGTAGGATACAGAATACCGTCTAGAAGGATTAAAAGCACCCTGGCTCCCGCGTGTTTAGATGATTGTTTCGTTTTTGTTTGATTTTCTGTCCTAAATTACCCTAAATGTCATATAAAATCGCTGTGGATCGACGCGAATACCGACTTGACTATATTTTTATTATTGAAATGCCCTAAATATCGATTAATTGTTTTAAAAAACCGATCGATATTTAGGACATTTCTACTATAAAAAAATCAATCGCTATTTACGACATTTAGGACTGCTCTAGGGCAAAAATTGTCCCTGCAACTCCCCAGGTAGCGTTAGCACTGACAACAGCTAGAGCAACGGTGCCAATGGAGGAAACACATCACACTCAGTTCAGGATATAAATTACTGTAAATAGATTCCCCGGCGAGCGAAGCGAGGCCGCAAATAATATGGCCTCAATTCACAATACAGGTCAAAATATCTATGAGGCTCCCAAATATTAAATGCACAGTTTCAAGCGGAGCACATTCCCACCAAGCGAAGCGAGGTGGCACACACTCCTGCTCGGTCTACACTAAATCAAAGAGCCCCGCATGCGGGACTCCGCGCGGCTTGTCTAGCATGATTGACAATGCAAAGAAATGCAATATTTCGCACCGATTGAAAGTTTGGATTGCGTAGCGCAGAAAAGTGTTGTTCGCGCTCTTTTATTGTTCATGAATACTGTACCTGTTCATTGTTTTCAAGCATGGGATTTGAGTCCTCAGCATCGTGAGTTGTTCTGAAAGTATGTAATACACACTTCGAAGTACATACTTGTACACTGTACTGGACTGCGCTGCCGTTAAGTATGCCGAGGTGACGAACTCTGTATTTCTACGGCCGTTCAAAGCACAAATTCCTATCTAGTGTTGTTTTTTACCAAGTTAATAAACGGGTAATAGCTTACCGCGGTAGTTTATACAGTTAATAGGGAATGGTATTAACTATTTGGGTCGTTTTTTGCACATATTAAATTTTGTTGGCAACTCACATTTTTATCTTTACACTTGCGAGGCGCCACGTCAGCCTGAGCAATGCGGCGGCTAGAATGCGACCCCGTGGAAGTCTGAAGCAGCCCGAAATGGATGTCCCCTGGAACAGCGTCAGCGGTAGCTGCATCGTGTACCTAATATCATAAAAAGTCGCGGGTGCGACCCAGTCAGCTTGCTGTAGGAGCTGGACCCATATTATCGCTCTTGGGTGGGGCTGCCACGCTGTGGTGCAGGATTTAAAATAGGCAACCGGCTCTTGATATGCTTAGGCCGGCAAGAATCTCCCGAAAAAGAAGATAAAGGAATGTCTTAATGGAAAAAGTAATCACTATGGCGCGGCATCACGATGTGGTATTTCTTGGTGATACAAGCGGGCGGCAAGAAGACCCGTCGTCACTCCATCGAAAATATGCCTCGTGTATGAATGTAGTACGATCCGTACTGTACGAACAAAGATCTATGATGCGCACGAGCTTTACTAACCTGATGCTATCCAAGTAGCAGATAGAGACATTGCTTAGCGAGACCGCCAACACTATAAGTGCTGAAGTCGGCAACAATACTCATCCCTACAGTAGCCAAAGAGCAGATCAATAACAAAATTATCGTAGTACTAAGCAGTTTCGCATTTGCAGCTGGAGCAAGACGCTGTGAGCTACCTACAAACCTGAAAGATCAAGTGACGAATAAATGAGGACTAACAAGAGGCAATGATCAGATGTTGGACTCAAGCTCCCATAGTTCCTTTTTAGTTTAGCCATCCAAACGCGACCCAAGACGGCTAAAACCGCTTCAGGAGAAGAATCCTCAATCTGCCTGGTGTAAACGCTGCTGATCCACGAGGCTGGCTGCTGATTGACTAATTTCTTCGCGTGGAGTGGCATTGACCCTTGTAGTGAGATGTTGAGACAAATGCTCAGAAATTAGTTCACTTCGTTGATGTGGACGCATTATTTGGTATTCGTCTGCGGGCGTGGACATATTTCCACTGCGCTCTGACGGCGTGGTTGAATCAGCTCGCGGGTGATAGTTGCTTGGAGAAAACCTTGGGGAAAAAGGACTGCTTGACGCTGCGAACAACGTGCGTCTTGCTGGTTGTGGCTCACTTGTGGATGGTTGTGGCCCGCGTGGACTTGAGCTGCGAGGGCTTCGTCGTGTACGACGGGATGATGTAGTAGTCGATTGGTGTCCGTGTGAGCTTGAGCTGCAAAGGCTTCGTCTTGTACGACGGGATGTTGTTGTAGACGTTCGCCGTACATGAGGCGTTGGCGTCCTAATACTTCTTGGTGCATCTTGATCGAAAAATCTAGTAGGTGGCGAAGTATTGACATCGTGTCTCGCGACGACGCGGGCACCATTCATACGGCTCCTGTGTGCTGCTGAAGGTGACTCGTCGCCACTTTCGCTCGCATCGTCACTTACTTCGCTATCACTCGCATCTTGCTCAACTTCCATATAGTGAATACAGCTTGTGGCATCCTTGTCTCCCGAATTTGAATACACAAACGCCAGTTTCTCGACTCGCTCGGGTTTTAACCGGTTCCGTCGTTTGCTGTGAATAAAAGAGTGAACACTCCAGGAGCGTTCGCTTGCTGCAGAGGACGTCGGAATGCTAAGCACACGGGTAGCAAGCGTGTACAATACGAAGAGCTTCTTCCGGTAAAGAAGCCACCAATCCAAAGGCGCATCCACAGCATTTTCGGCGTGCTCCTCAGGACTCCAACTCTCCTTCATCCGTACAAATCGTAGAACCGCCTGCCGAAACGCCTGAGCACTCACACCCGAAGGTAATCCGACACGCAAAGCGAGTGCGACACATGCCTTAACGGCCTTGATTAAGTCTGAATCCTCAAATTCAGCTATATGCTTCGACGGATCCAACAAAAACGCTGCCAAAACCGACTCCCGCTGTAGCATTCTCCATCGAGACCGAATTTGTCCGCGAATAGTAGTGAGAACGCCTTCAGCTACGTCATCTGTCGTCATGGCGTAGATGCTGTTGTATTGCAAGCCGCGAAAATAATGATAAACCATAGATAGACAGCAACCATCCTTCTCGAGAGCCCCTAGAGCCTTAGTTACTGGTTCAACCAGTCGTAATACGGTACGAGCTCTAGTCCAAAAGTGGCTGTCCGCCAGTATTTCCTGTACATGTTGTAGCTTCGCTGCAGCATTTCCGTAGCGATCCAGGAGACTGTCGTTTCGAAAGACAGCACGTAGCACTTCTTCATTCTTCACGACACTAGAGATGCAATTGGTACTAGAGTACCAGCGTGTGGAAACAGGAAGTATCAATGATCGTCGATGCTGGCGCGAGCCGATTCTCTGTCGCTGCTTCGACCTAAAGTAATAGAGAAGAGCTGGTCGTTTCCGGACAAATTTGGTAATGGCAACCGCTTTGTTGAGGACGTCTCTCATGAGCTCAATACCGAACATATCCTTCAGCAGCAAGTTGAGCGTGTGAGCCGAGCATCCATTGCACGTCAGAGATTGTATTTCTTTTTATAGAGTATTTCCCATGACCTACGCATGTTTGCAGCATTATCCGTGACGACCGCAGCGACAGTTTTCTTTCCAACTATTTCTTCGACGTCTGAGATTACTTTTCCCAATGCAGATGCCATATACATCCCGGTGTGTCGGTCTTCGCCCCTTAGAATGGAGCACCCCCCTATTGGACGCATAAACGGCGATGTGATCATGAAATTGATGATGCTCTCGCTATTTGGGTCCGACCAACCGTCGGTAACCACAGTAACGTATGTTTGACTTCGTAGCACCAGCTCGACATTGGCTCGTTTTTCGCGATAAGCATCATCCAGTAGCGCGCTAGCGAGATCCTGACGCGATGGTAGCGGCATCCCGGGGCAATACTTTGTCAAAATATGCCGCATCTTCGGGTTTTCGACCACACGGAAGGGAATTGCAGACGAATAAAAGGCAGGGGCGACCTCGTGATGAAAAGCCCTGATCTCACTCTTCGTGTAGAGTCGAGGTACTACCGCTCGCGTTTCTTCGCCTTCACTTCGAGCTCGCTTGTGTTGACGGGTTTCACTCTCGCCATCTCGGGATCCCTTGGCTGGAGTTGGCGGATATCGAAAACGAACGTTGTTAGGAGCCTTATGGCAGCGACGAATGTGAGGGCGAAGATTCTTTTTCGGTTGGGCATGACGAATAGTTTTCGCGCAGTATTTACACTGGACGTCAGGATGTTGTTTCTTCGGTGTCGACCACCTTGGAACAACCACATCAAACTCGCTCCAAACACTATCCTGTGGACGTCCTTGTTCACTGATTCGGGGCAGAGTACTGGCGTCATTAGGCTCTCTTGCGTCTGTGTCGTGGTCCATGGTTCGCTATCGTCGGTCTCACAATGCTCTTTACAGCAAATAAAATTATGAAATGGTAGTGAGGAGGACGGAGTACGGCTTCTCGAGGATGGAGGACCGTAGATACATCTATGTGGAGGACCAGGGGGGGCCAACAAAGCGTGTTGCTCGAGCAGACCACCACGCAAGACAGCAACAACGCGACCAAAACATTTTGGCCGCCACGTCAGATTTCAACAACGCTATCCGAACATTCTGACACATTAGTAGTACACAAAGTTATTAACGGTACTAACTGGTATTAGGGGGTTGATTAACGGTAAAAGGTATTAACTCGGTAGTGGTTTTAACCAACACTATTCCTATCTATCATGATCTTTATGATCCATCGATGACAAGGAGTTGCGAAACGTAAGTTTGCCACAGCATTTATTATATCAATTGACATTTGACATTCAAGACAAACCTTCCTCGCGAATTGCAACCATGCCTAATAGTGCATTCGTTGTATTTGTCATTCTGGACTTCCTCAATGTCCTGACTGCTGAACACCTCGTTCGCACGAGCGAGCGTGGCTCTAAGTCTGCCATCGACGCCGCTCGCAATCTAAAAAGTGCCCTTGGAGCGACTGAAGCAGCTGGGGGCTCGGCAAACGCAGCGGAAGAAGAGAGAGGTTGGGCGGACGTCGCGGAGAAGTTGGAGAGGACGAACGTCCTCAAGAATGCAGAAGAATATAAAGGCGAGGACGCTGCGAAGTGGCAAAAGGCTGCCAAGGAGGTAGCGACGCGAGGCAAACTCGAAAGGTCGAAAGCTGCGAAAGCCAGATGGGGGAACGCGCTGATGAAGCTCAAGGCGGGAGGCAAAGTCACTGCGACCAACGAGGAAAAGATCGAAAAAGTCACGGAAGAAGCTGCGCAGGCGATCGAAAAGAATCCCAAGAAGTGGTCATACATTAAGAAGGCGCTGGAGATTACGTTCGGGGTAGGCATTGCTGCCATTATTGCACTTGGTATCGAAGGGATGATAGGAAGCTCAGCGTAACGTACACTACGAAGGCGCTCTCATTGTTTCTTTTCAGTTGCGAATCACTCACTTGTTATTAACGTTAATACCACAAGATCTATGAGCCGAGTAGCTGGTGAATGGATGTACATTCGCTTGTTATTACGTGTTCTGCAAGATACCTTGAGGGCATTCATCTAGCTACGCATGTGACATCATCTGAAGACCATTCTTGTGGCGCACCTCGCTGGGTCGATGCCGACGTTGCAAATTTTTCACGACCTTCTCGAGCTCGAGCAGCTTTCTGAAAATACTCGGGGCTGCATCTTCGAGTGCCAATATCAGATGAAGGCTGCAGTTCGGGCGATTTGGGTGACTTGGGCGTATGGCAACATAGCGTCGAAGGCTAGCAGCAGAAAGGCTGTAAGCGTACGACCTCGGTCCTTGGACTCCAAGTTGGAGGCTGGAGTCAAGATATTATACATTCGTGCACCTCCAACAGTCCATGTCAGTACATGTATTATAATAGTATATCCTTTTTATTGCGTGCTTGGAGACGCACGCTAGAGAACGGTATTAATACCTGTTGAAAAGACATCGCAGACTACTGAGATCTGCGTGAACTGAACATATTTTTGGTAGTTTGTACTTCGAGGTACATGTACTTCTTTATTACTGTAGTATCATTTACTTACTGTAGTAGTAAAGTATGAGGCGCTCAGTGTAGGGCTCTACGTTGTTCTAGAGTGGGCTGCCAAGACACCATCGAGCTTGCTGAACCTGTTTTATCAAAAACGAATAAAAGAAAAGCTCCCAGTAAGGGAATAAACGCTGCCTAGTCTTGCTTTGGGTTTGCTCATCCATTGCGATATTCTATTGTACTTATCCAGCAGCTTGGCGCTCGCTGGCCCTGATTTCTACCGTAGTGTCCATCTTCACATCTTTCGAAGGCGACGAGTCGACTTTGCGTGGAAGAGCCCGTCCCACCACTTCTGAACCCTCTGCACCAGACCATTGTTGTAGTACGTCGAGTTGGTTATTGTTCCGTCAGCATTCTTGGTCGTTACAGCATTCGTTGATAGCGCTCTTGTAATAGTCTCGAGTCGCTCATCTTCAGTTGCGGACAACTCGCGGGAAATGGAGCGTTTAGTCAGGCTATCGCTGTCCTGTGACAGAAGGTTACGAGAGCTCTCCTTTAATTCCTTGGTCGAAGCCGTAAGGTCTTGATGTGCGGCTGCAAGGCTTTCGCTGGCTACTACCATCGCCATTGCGAACACCAAAAAGACTTCGAGCACACGCATGTTCCTTGGGGATAGCAGGACAAACTTGGCTCGAGATCTGACTGTGGTCAATGACTGCAAGTTGCAAAATGGCCATTAGGATAGCTGAGCCTCCCTCAACTTGAGGTTGTCGAAGCAGAAAGTCATTACGAGGGATTAGCGACCTGGGGTCGGGTTGAACATTTTTGCTTGGGATTTGAATTCTAGATATTTTATGGTGTTCAGTGATCTACACCATGGCCTGGATTATACGGTTTCACGGGGATTACCTACCAGTTGGAATTTTAGACTTTAGATTTGTATCGTTGCGTAGCAGATACGAAAGGGTATCAAAACTTGAGCCTACACATCCCTTGTGGTAAAGCTGTTTATCGACGCTGTACATATCTTGAATACTAATGAACGTAGCTACTTTCACATCCTTGAAGCGAAACTGAAGTTGCAGAGGCATGCAATTGATTGAGTGAATGAATGGATGGATGAATTTAGTTATGTCCAGACACGACGAATAGTATGCTCTCACAACAAGAAATTTCCTCATTTCCTACATTCAATTCCAAGGTACTACATGTATTAATAAAGTACATGTACTGCAGTCCTGGTACATGTACGGGATGCAAAGCTCTCTATGTCATTTACCGGTGCCAGGCACTTTCTTGTCTTTCCAGCGTCGACACCACATCGAATCCAATGACTACCGGTACATGTAATCTGTTTTTGCCGATCTACGCTATTTTCTGAGGATATTACGATACCTCGAAGTTGTACTTCAACATGTTCGAACATTGGATCAAGTACAGTGCGTAGAAGCCAATTTAAACTTGTAAGGCATCGGTCCTGGCCTCAGCCCGCCACATCTGATGGGAGCATTGATATTAGGTGCGGTAACATCCTCTACAGAGTCACAAGCTTTGAACCGGATAAAAAGAAGATTAAGACAGACAGGTGATAAGACCTTGTTGTACTTTAGAAATGGATTCTTTGTCAGTACTGTCACAATTATATTACTGCACAGTTTATGCAGTCTGCGAGCAAACTATATTCCAAGGTGAACTGATACAATGGTATCCTGACAATTGGTAGCTGGGGTATCAGGCTACGGAGAGGTTATTTAGATGAGGTTTAGATGGCTACATGATCACTCAGTTGCTCGTGCAGATGTCGGCAATGCTTGAATTCGTTTCATTTAACTACATGTACATGCGCATCAGCACTGTATACTGGATACAACTTCCATGTCCAGTCAGTTCATAATACACCAACGCAAGGGACTGAGCCACCGGCGCGCTGCCGAACGACCTGTTTCCTCTAATGTGGTGAGCAGGTTTCGAGTGTGGGCAGGGAACCAGCGTGGGGAGATGCTGGGGAGTCAAAAAGGAGATTCGTCCAATGGAGCATGAGCTGTTAGCAGTACATTATTATTGTTGTAGTAGTTTTATCTACGTAGTTGGGCTCGTTTGGGAAAGACCATTTCGTGGGGTCCTTTTCAGGCCTCTGCAATTTGAATTATCATATTGAATAAGATCGCATATTGGGAATGCAATAATGTATTGAGGAGCGAGTAAAAATGCAAGCATTTTTTCTGCATTTTATCAGTTATTCTAGGGTTAATACTGTCCACCAAAACTACTGGTTGCCACCGCCTCAAAAGAGCCTTTACGAGCCTTGTGTAATCTCCTCAGCTCATTCGACCTTTTGCAGTCATCCCAACAACTCTTCAGCCCCCTTTCGCCCAAGTACCCCATGAATTTCACGAACAAGGACATCTGAACGCGTATATGGCTGACCATGTTGGCCAAGATACACGCGCTCATGAAACACCTGAGCACCATCAAGTGTCGTGCTGCCCTTCGCGAGGTGACCTCTCTATCGCCCGTCATGCCCAACGCGACTCGTTGGTCGAGTACCTTCAGCATGGTACAGCAGTACGACAAGATTTGTAGCGCTCTTCTCGCGTTGGACCACGCTACGGTGGTTAAGCATGACATCGCGCGCTTTCTACTGACGCCAGAGGAAACCAAACCGCTCGCTCCCCTTCTTAAGTCGCTGCACGAGCTGAATGAGATGAGTTTGGCGCTACAAGACTCAGCTCTAACAGTGGTGGGTGCACGACGTGCCTTTGATGCAGTGTTGCGCAAGTACCCCAGCAAGAAGACCCGGCTTGCAAGTGACGCCTCCGTCGTCAACAATCCCGCACTGGAGAGCGGCATCGTGAAGATCATTGGCTGTGGTCGGCTGAATGCACGCGAACAAGCGGCGTGTATTCATCTCAAGGCGCAGCAGCGTCGACACAGTGGTAAACTCAGCAGTTTCCAAGTCATTTCTCGCGTCGGCCATCAAGAAGGCCCCTGTGACGCGCTCCCCACCGCAATACGCTCCTCTCGAGTGGGTTCCACCCACGTCGAACGAGTGCGAGCGTTTCTTCAGTCAAGCCAAGCTGGTTCTGACCGACCTAAGGAAAGCCATGGACCCTAACAGTCTTGAAGTGCTTATGTTTCTATCGTACAACAAGGACTGATGGGAAGGATTTAGTGTTAAAGCTATCAGGCAGAGTATGCGTAGTCAACTTAGGGAATAATGCCATTATTTTTGTCTTGGCGTAATAGCAGCAGAATATATTGAGTATGGCATATTGGGGAACCCTTGTCTTTTTTTACCAACTCTGCAACTTCCTCTGTTGTTTTCTTGACCTCTTCCTCGCCGGCCTTGGTGAGCTTCCGTTGTTGCTTGAGTTTCGCTAGGATACCCTCCATTTTGCCCTTCGCTACCTTCGCCATTTCATCGCGCACAGGCTCGAATTTATTATCCGCTCCTGCTTTCTTGACGGCATTTTCCAGTTTTGGGTTTTCTCCACTTGCTGTTTTCTTGAGAGTTTCTTCCAACTTCGTACTTTCCGCACCATCAGCCTTTTTAAAGGCCTTTCCAGCTTGATGCCATCTGCATTTTCAAGGTATTTTGCTATTTTTAAAACGGAGATCCTTTTCAGGTTCTCGAACATAGCGTTCCACCATGTCACCCGCTCAGCTTCTGCTTTCTTGACAGCGTTCTCTATCTTCGTGGTGCCCGCGCCATCAATTGCTTTAACATTCTTGGGGACATCAATCCGTTTCACACTGTCCACGAGTGTTCTCCACAACGACGTTTGCTCGGCTTCTGCTTTTTTTTACAGCATTCTCTTTCCTCTCGACGTCCGCAGCTTTAACTTCTTAGGTTTTGGAGACCCTTTTTAGCATTCCAGATATAGACCATCACCTTTTCGCTTGCACTGCCTCTGCAGCCTTGACAGCGTTTTTTTTATCTTTGCAGCGTCTACACCTTTGGCTTTATTGAAAATGGAGATCGCTTTCACCTGCCCAGCGAATGATCTTAATGCTGACACTTACTCCGCTTGTGTTTTCTTGACATCACCTTCTATCTTCTCCACGTCCGAATTTTTTAATTCTTTCGCAATTTTGAGTTTAGAGAAAACACTGTCTACGATATTTGTTCATGTGTCTCTGCTGTTTTGACTGCATTCTCATTTTTTTCGACACCAGCAGGTTTAAACTTTTGTGCACTTTTGAAAAAGGAGATTTGCTTGAGCTTTTCCATGAACTTTCTCAGTGCTGAAGGTTGCTAAACAGGACCCCAGCTGATTTCACTGCAACCTTTAAATTGCGTGAAGCGTGGAAGTCAGACAGGTAGGCATGGTGACTCGAATGGGCAAGTTCTTCGCCATGGAGGAGATTAATCAAACTTAAAATGGTGAGGGCAATCAGA